TGTCTGTTTGGAAAAGAAACAAATATCACAAGACTGAAAATTTTTCATTTCAGTATTACTCTTATTGAATGGAGGTAGAGACAAAACTTGAGGAGACGGATGACCAAGACGTTGGTGCAATAAGGAAACTGACTCAGCTTTGAACGCTTGGGCTTGAGAAGGAAAGACATAGACCCCGTTCCGTGCTTCACATTGACCAATCCGCGTCTTCGTAGTTCGGTCCTGTATCACACAAGAATGATCATCAAAGAAAACATGACAGTTATGTGAGTTGACAAGACAGCTCACTGATATCAAATTGCACTTCAAATTAGGAACATAAAGAACATTGTGCAAAATTAAAGAAGGAGACACTTGCACCCGGCCACAAGAACTTGCCACCACATGAGCCCCATCGGGCAAGCTTATAGTACAAGGAGGCCTCTGCACTATGTCAGTCAAACACGAAAGCATCCCTGTCATATGATGAGAAGCTCCACTATCAACTAGCCATTCACATTGCTCTATGGAAGACATACCACACAATTCCAAAATGACGCTAAAAGCGAACACAAACAGAACAAAAAAAAGGAAGCAAAGTACGGCTGTCCCAATTTCAATCCACGATTGACGAACAGAGCACAACCAATTCAATTGCAAAAGGGAATTACCAGCGGCAAATTCAGCCGTGGACTTCACCCAATTTTGACTGGACAGAACAATTTCAGTTTCAGCCGCAAATTCAGCCGAACAATTCCAGTACCAGATGCTTATCCGATCGCCGAGCAGAGAAAAAGAAAACCAAAAAATAGGTGCTTGCTGCTTGTCCGATCGCCGACCAGAGAAAAAAAAAAGTGCTTGATCTCAATATGCCAAGGAAATTGTCGGCCCACTAATGCAAAACATCAAGCCAATGGATGATCAAAAGCAAATCAATAGGCAGAAATAATTTTACGGCGTCCCAACAGTGACTCGTACGCCGGAGAGCAGAAATGCACAGAACCCTAGGTTTTTGGCTCTGATACCATGTAGAAATTTGGCAAAACTGATCTGATTTTCATTAATCACAAACCGATATATATACAAGTACATAAACGGGCTAACAGGTACGGGCCCAATATCTACGGTTATTTACAAATATCCGCTAACAGGTTCGTGAGGATGTTTCTTATTGATAATTTGATACTCCCTCCGTCCTAAAACTTTCTTTCCAGTTTGACTTTTCCCCATTTTTAATTTTTGGCTTTGACTTCAAATTTTACCCTCTTTAAAAAAGATTTTTTGAATTTTTTTTTGCAATCATTCAAAATATAAAGTTAGAATATAAGTGGTGTAAATACAGGAGGGTATTAATGTCATTTGTCATCTTTATTTTGTAATGGGAAGGTAGTTTTAGGACGAAAAAAAAGGAAAGTAGAAAGAAAGTTTTAAGACGGAGAGAATATTAAAATAAACATTTTTGAACATCAGGAATGCTATGGAGCCACTAAAGTTCAAGATTTTGCTTCGAAAAATGCTAGGCCCCCAAATGTCCCCCACCCCCTCCTTGTCCACTAAAAAAGGCAAAAAAATTCAAAAAAAATAAGTAAATAAAAATCAAATAAAAATGTGTGGAGGAAAAGAGGGTGGTGTACATTTGGGGTACCCCAAATGGTGTACCTCTAGCATTGCTCTTTTGCTTCACATGTCTGCTGAGCGTGTGAAACCACTGAAATCGAAAGGGATTGCTGTGTTTATCAAATAAAAGGTACTCCCTCCGTCCCGTGAAACCTTTCCTCTTTCTTTTTTTATCCGTCCCATAAAACACTTCTCATTTCTATTAAAAAGTCACTTTTATTCCTTACTTTTTCATACCCTAACTATCACATCATACCTTTTTACTAATAATCTATCCATCAAATCACATTTTTACCCATCACATCAAAGGACATTTTTGGAAATTCAATACCAAAATACACTCCCTTAAATCCCTCTTAAAAAGCAAATGTCCCATGTTTCACGATTTGTAGGGGGTGCACTTAAGCCAACTGATATTGACAATTTATGGGTTCATATTTCATGTGCATCGGTTAGACACGAGGAGTCCGTGGAGAGCATTTTTTTTGTTATAATGGAAAGTGTTTTAGAAGAGAGAAAAACCATATACACCAACAGAAGAGCATCACCAAAAGGTAACTGCAATGAAGTCTACGATTTGACTTCACAAAATTTAAAAAATTGGTGAAGAGTGAAATCTGGTTGAAACTCATTTTCCAGACATGATTGTTGATTTTGGATGTTAGAATAATAGACCAACGATAGAGGAGGGTGAATAGCGTTTGATCAAAAATCGCAGGAATAAAAATGAATAAACGAGAAGTAAAGAGAAGAGTGAGAGGCACATCGATTTTACCCTGGTTCACCACAACTTGTGGCTAATCCAGCCTCCCGAGAGACTCTCTCGAGCTACGCTACACTACTATCTCGTTAAGCTTAACGGTGCTTAACAAACCCGTACAACTTGAGAGTTTGAGTCACACGAACCTCAACAGATCTTCGAAGGAAACAACCCTTCCTTCGAACAACAGGAGAAATACTTTCTCTTGTCAAGTGTCTAAGAACACTAAAAACTCTCAAGAACAATACTCTCTTTTAGAGTGGATAATGAGTAACTAAGTACGCTCAAGAACACAACACAAGCTTCACAAAAATGGCTCTCAAAAAGCTATGAAAAAGTGATGAATGATTTGCAATGAAAGAGTAGAAGTTGTGAAGTTATGTGATGTATAAAACAGACCCAAACACCCCTTTTTATAGTAGAAAAATAAGCTCCAACGAACCAAAGTATTTAAGGGGTGATTTGCACAATTTGTGGGATTTGATTAAATTTGGATCTGCTGAAATTCACCTAGACAGCGATGTCCTAGGCTAGGACATCGCTGTTTTAGGTTTGGATTTGAAAAATGGGAAGCAACGGTCATGCCAACAGCGATGTCCAATACCCTTACATCGCTGTTTTGGTTGTTGACTTCCAAACAAGGAAAGTTTTAGCCTTAAATTCTTTCCAACGGTCAGGTCCATACATCGATGTTCAATACTAGAACATCGCTGTTTAGGTCTGACTTTGAAGATGGAAGTTTGGCCTGACAGCGCTGTTGCAAGGTCAACATCGCTGTTCAAAAACTTTCTGCCAATGCAATGTATTTTTGGCTTAGGTTGGACAGCGCTGTAGGGAAGCCTACATCGCTGTTCCAGAAGTTTCTGGAAATCGAACCTTGGCTCAACAGCGATGTCTAATATCCAACATCGTTGTTGGAAGACTTAACGCCAAACCATGTTTTTAGCTACCCAAGCCAGACAGCGCTGTTGGTTTCACCAACATCGCTGTTGGGCTGGTTTAGCCAGACCCATGGTTGGTTTAGTCATGCCGTTAGCCGAAGTCAAAAATGTAAGTTCTCCAAAATAAAAACCAAGTATTGAAAACATTTGTTTATAGCATTTTGCTAAGAAATCAAGTAAAACATCTTAAAAACCGCGTCATTTAGCCGAAGTCATTTAGTTTTTTACTTTTGTTTCATTCGTCCATAAATAAGTTTTATTCTTATTTAAATTAATGGAAATTAAATAACTCATTAAAAGTTATTTTAACTCTCGTCAAATAAAAAGCACAAACTTATTTTTTTCCTTTTGTGTATATATGTTTGCGTATTAGTTAATAAGGATGGATTAAATTACAATGGTTATTTTGAATAATAATTTCAATTAGAATATCTAAAATGCTCTATTCGTAAATTGAGAATTTTTACCTCTTTATCTCCCAAAATATACTTGCCCCTACATTCTCATATCGTTGATTTAGCAGATACTCCGTATAAAATTAGTGAAATTTTTACTAATATGACATGTAGATTAAAAGTAAAAAGGTATGATGAGATAGGTAGATTAAAAATTAGTAGGGGTAAAAGTGATTCATTAATATATACTCCGTATGAGAATGATTTTGTGGGGCCGGTAAAAAAAAGAAACGGTAAGAAGTTTTTGGCACGGGGGAGTATATATTTTCTCAGTAGTACCTAAAACCTTTTATTTTTTAAACAGTACTCTCTATCCCTAAATGATTTACACACTTTACTAAAAAAATTGTGGTAATTTCATGTTTGTGTTTTGATTGACTATTTGATGAAATAAAAATTCTAGACACTTCTTTTATAAAAATTTTGATGTACTTTTAAAATATTAAAATTTTATCTTTTTATTTATATATCAATTTTTAAATAAAATGAATTAAAAACTTGGGATTTTACTTCGTTTTACATAAATTATACGTAGTAAATCATTTAGGTAAGGAGAGAGTACTTAATACTGTCAACTGACAATGAACATTGAATTCTGGTGGCAGTGGACATTGAACCGTAGTCGCGACGCGACGGACAATGGATATGGAACAGTGGTGGCGGTAGACATTGAACAGTGGTGGCAGTAAATGATAAACAATGATGGCGGTGAACATTGAACCGTGGTACAAATTAGATACTACTAAGAGAAATTAAAACATACTCCCTCCGTCCCATTTTATAACATCTGTTTTGGTTTACGATGTTTGACTGAAATTATTTTCAAATCATTTTATATGACAAATGGTATAAAGTTAAAAAATAAAAATTATATATCTAAATACTACATTAAAAGATCTATAAAACTAGTAGTGATAACAATATTTTATTTTATCAAATTGCTAATGAAAATAGAGAAAGAAAGTGAATGAAGTTTGACCTTGTGAATAGTGAACATGCATTATAATTTGGGACGGAAGGAGTATAATATTACCCAATTTATTATAGAACTCACTATGATTTTTAGTACTCCGTAGTATATATGTGTAAGCTTCCTAATCGACGAGGGGATTTAGGGGTTTTAAATTTTTAATAGGAAAATAGAGCGCGCGGCGGCAAATCCAAATCCTAAGTACGTCAGAACAGGTTTTAATTTGGAAATTGTTACTCCGCATATAAATACCTCATCGTATTTCTTTAAACAGCTCAGGGCATAAATAAAATTTGTTCATCGTCCCACTCAATGCTTTTTCTTCATTGGATCGAGTTACTTTTATCAAAGGTAAATATTTCTCCCGTGTGTATTTAATTGCTTAATTATTTTACATAATTATCAGCTATGTATGAGTTATAATAATGCGTGATTTTGTGAGTTTTGAATAAATTTGAGACTTGTGAATTTGTAAACTATGAATTTATGATTAGGGGTTTTTTTTTTTGAAAATTTATGATTAGGTTTAGTTGTACTTTAAAAATTTTAAAAGAAGGATTCTAAGGATGATCGTAATAAGAGATCCCACGGCCCTAATATTCTAGGTCCACCCTGATTTTAGGTTCACTTATGTTTTGTTGTTAATTTTAATATACGAGTAATTACATTATTAATGGTATCTTAAATTCTCAAGAAATATATAATCTATATGAATGCTCAAGAATTCACATATTTTTATGTCCGAGTGCTTGTAGAATTTACACAATATAAGGATACCGGTTCTCATACCGGGGAGCAATTTTTTTGGTATTTTTCATTTATTTAGTTTCCTCTTTCATTTTTTTTTTTGTTTTTCTTAAAACACTCTCCTTTTCTATTAAAAAACCACTTTTATCCCTACTTTTTCATACCCTACCTATCACATCATACTTTTTCACTTACAATTGAACTATCACATTGGTTGGCTCCTAGGATTTCAACGCACGCTGCTTGAACGAGGCCGCTGGCGGCGACGGCGTTGCCCGCCTCTTCCTCTCGGCGGCGAGCTTCCGGCTGCAGGAGTACTGGATGGCGCCCCACGAGATCCACAGCCTGTTCCGCTCCGCGGTGGATTTCGCCGGAGAGATAGAGGCGGCCGCCGCCGCCGACCACCGAGATGACACCCGCGTTGTGGTGGAGATTGAGGTCTGCACCGTGCAGCAGGCGGGGGAGGAGATTTTCGCCGCCTTCAACCGGGCGATCCGGCCCGACCGTTTGCTCCCGATGTGCGTCTTCGAGATCCCGTTCCATCCGTTTCCGGAAGGAATAATGGGACGACGTGGAAGAAGGCTTTTGTATTACTTGCGGGACCTGCGCAGGATTAGAGTGGAACGGGCGCTGATGGGCGCGTGCGGGATCTGTTCGTGTAAGCCGACGGTCGGAGACCAGATCACCGGCCTCAAATGCCGGCATGCTTTTCATTCGGACTGTGTTGTGAAATGGCTGAAGCATATAAGAATGTGTGTCCATCTTGCAAAGCCCAAGAATACAACTTCAATTGATTTTTATTCCATTCTTTTTGTTTGTATTTATTTAGACAAAGTCAAATTTGCACTAAATAGGATTAAAATATAAGTTATATTTCGATGTACGACTTAAATTTTTTTATTACCTAAATAAGACTTAATAATGTCTAATGGGAAAAATAATGTCCAGTGGTGATGAATATTTTTCTTGAATAATGACTAATAGATAATGACCAATGGTCATACATTCAGAAATAAAAATATATGATCCTATATTGAGAAAGAAATTATGTTTTAATCTTATTAAGTAAATTTGCCGCCTAAAAAATAATGAGGGGTTTTAGGGAGATAATCATTGAAAAGGGATCAATGGAGCGTAGTGTCATGATGCATAGTGTAAATGATAATCATTTCATCTTATTTTATTAGTTAATTTATATTTAAAATAAAATTTACATATGGAGAAGAATACATTAGAAGTTTTATAAAATAAAATTGTTTCTATTTTTCTTTATATATATTTTCGAATATCTAAAAATATTCAAATGAAATTTTTTTGGAACGTATACTCCATATTAGAATTAATTATATTTTTTAAATATTTAGAATATAATCTTAGTTTAAGAAATAAAAAATTTTCTAATACATATTTATTATTTTAATTACATAATATATACCACTATGACAAAAAACATTCTAGCTTGATTGGTGGATAGCTTAGTATAACAAACAAGAGGTTTAAGGTTTGAATCTAGGTGATGGATAAATTGTAGCTAATTTTCCAAAAAAAAAAAGAAAGAATTGGTTCGATTGTGTGGACTGGTATGTTCATACCGATTCAAACTGGTTCAATGCGGTCCTTTAGGTCAGACCAAATCGATTTGACCTCAAGTTCGCTGGTTCTCGGTCTGAACTAGCGAGTCCGATTTAGTTAGTTAAATCTATGTTTTTACACACATTTATAATATAAAAAACTATGAAGAGTTGGAAGAAAACGTGAATAATTGAAAAACAAGAAATAGTTCAAATAATTATGATCTAGAAGAATGTGAAAGAAACTAAAAAAAATTGAAAAAATTTAAAAACTAAAAGGAACTAGAAAAAATGAAACAATTAGAAAAAATTAAAAATTAAGACTCAGTTTGGTACAAAATTAAGGTCATGGAATTGGAGACTTCAATCTAATTATGTTTTTTAGGCAGCACAAAAATATATAAATTTAGAGTTGAATTCTAATTTCAAAGTTTCTATATTAATTCCAAAAAATGTAGATTTTGCTAGCACAAGTTATATGTATGTGAATTTCGAATCATAATACAGTTCCATATCAATTCAATATATAATTTTATGGTACTAAATTAGAAATTTGAAATTATAATACAAAGTACAATTTTATATCAATTTATTTAGTTATACCAAATAAAGGATTTAGAATTTTATTCCGCCCCATTCTATTCCATAAAAGTTCAATTTGAAATTAATTTAAATTTTGTGTACCAAACCTAACATTTTTAGCCCAAATGAAGATGGGTTAGGGCGAACTAATTGGGAGTTGGGACGTCTTGAAGCCTAAAAAAAGACTGTTGGCTACGTGGTTTTCGGGAGTTAGTTCTAATTCTAATCTAATTAGGAATTTTTAATTACTCGGCCATATAAAATCTGCCAATAGAGAATCTGTTTCGTGATTCGTGCGGTTAGTTGCTTCCTTTACAATTTTCCGACTCGATTGTGACCGGCGGCCTTCGGAGTTGCCGGAGCGACGCTCTTTCCCGGCGCTTCTAGCCTTCCACGCCTACAAGAGGATTACAGGCAAGCCGCCTTTCTCGAGTTTCTATAACCATACTTTCCGTTCTATTTCTGCTTATTTCTACACTACAATTTTAGTCTGCTTTTGCAAATGTCTACTCTTCTTTCCATGCATTTTTATTGCGGAATTCTCTTTTGCCGATCAAATTCGCTCAATTTGCTGTTTTCTGCATTACCTTTGGTTAGGGAGTATAGGCTAGTTAAGAAAGCATTGCGGAATTCTCTTTTGCCGGAAGTATATTTTGTTATATTTGTATTATTTGTCATGTGCTAGTTAAGAAAGCATTGCTCTTGTTTACATTTAGGGTTCTGTTTTTAGTGTTTCATTATTACTACTTTGCCTTATTCAATCCGGCAATGCGACCCGGTCACCTCAAGAATCATATGTGTCTCGCTAAAATTTTTTATGATTGCAGTTTGAAAATGGGGGGTCAGAAGAATACTTCAAAATCTAGTAAGAATGCAGGTCAAAGTGTTTCTGCGGCATCGATGTTTGATGGACTTGAGCAGCTAGGGAATAGTGACAATGATGCCATTGATGAAGAGATTGAAAACCGTCCCGTTGCTATCTTTACTGGAAAGAAAAAGAAAACATCGAGACAGAGTAATCCGTTCTATTTGGACAATGACGAGGATCCCAGCTTTAATAATCTGGATACCGGTTCATTTTGTGATGCCACTGCTCAGGAAGAAGATGGTACATGTGTGATTATGTTTTCGGGTAAAAAGAAGTCATCTAAAAAGAAGAATGATTCAGCAATCAACACCCTCCAGGGAGAGTCCATAGACAAGGCACCTCATGCCATTAGTTTTGGCAAACAGAGCTTAGCTGGAAGCCACAGAGGAATAGAAGGAACAAAAAGCAAGCAGGTTCAAGGCATTTCCAAGACCAATTCTAAGAAGCATAAGGGTGGAAATACAGCTCAAGAAAATGATGATGAAATTGAAAGGGTTCTTGCTGAGCTCGGCGAAGGTTCACCTATTCCTTCTCTTCGTGCTCTACCTCCTTCCAAAGAAAAGTTACCGATGCAACCTGAACCGAAAGGTAAAACTAAGAAAAAGAAGGGTGGGGACAAGAATGAAGAGGAGGATGAATACGACAGCAATTTGGCCGAGCCGGGAGAGGCTATTCAAACATCAAAACTTGACCCTGCTCCTTCTCCACAAGAGGAAAAAGACAAGGATCTTCTTCAAGCAGGAGAAGATATTTCTGAGATGGAAATAGTGGAGAGGGTGGTTGAGTCTGTGGTTGCTAAGAAGAAGAAAAAGAAAAAAGAGAAAGAAAAGGAAAAAAAGGCAGCGGCAGCAGTGGCAGTTGCAGCACCTGTGATTGAGGAAAAGCAGGAAGCAAAAACCAATGGCAAGGGTAAGGCCGATAAAAAAATCCCTAAACATGTCAGAGAGATGCAAGAGAGGCTTGCCAAACTCAAAGAAGCAGAAGAGAGGAAGAAAAGGGAAGAGGAGGAAAAGTTGAGGAAAGAAGAAGAACGTCTACGGCTAGAGGAGTTAGAAAGGCTTGCAGAGGAAAGGAAACGCTTAAAAAAGGAGAGGGAGAAGGAAAAAATGTTAAAGAAGAGGCAAGAGGGGAAGTTGCTGACCGGAAAGCAGAAGGAAGAAGCTCGCAGACTAGAAATGATGAGAAAGCAAATACTCACAAATGCTTGGGGCTTACCACTCCCTGTTGGGGAGACTGGTACAGATGGAACAAAACGGCCCAAGTACCAAACCAAGAAGGTGAAACAACAATCCCATGGAAATGATAATTCTATTGCTGCCACGGCTGAAAAAAGTGATGTGAAGGAAGCCGAGCAGGAATTTATACCCAAGGTTCACCCTATGGAAACAGACAAGGTTGAAGAAGTGGGTTCACTGAAGACAGAGGACAAACCAGAGAATGCTGATGACGAAGAAAATAGAATTGGTGAAGATGGAGATGACAACGATTGGGAAGAAAAAAGCTGGGACGAAGATGATCTCAAACTCCCCGGTAGAAGGGCATTTTCTGATGAGGAGGTAGATGGTGAACCCAAAGCTTTAGCTAGAAGACAGACAAAGATTGCACAGGTAGCCGTTTGTCATTCCATTGCTTCCAAACAAGCCCCTGTAACTGCAACTGTTGTATCTAAAAATGAGGACACTAATAGAAGGGAGTTTGAAAGCATGGAGAAAAATGGTCAAGAAAGAAAGGAAGAACAAAAACTTGTTGCATTGCCAGACATGAGAGAAAAGAGCCTCCGTTCTCCCATTTGCTGTATTATGGGTCATGTTGATGCTGGGAAAACAAAACTCCTTGATTGCATACGAGGCACTAATGTCCAAGAAGGTGAAGCAGGAGGAATTACTCAGCAGATTGGTGCTACTTACTTTCCTGCAGAGAATATAAGAGAGAGAACTAGGGAGCTTAAAGCTGGTGCTACACTGAAGGTACCTGGTTTATTGGTTATTGACACCCCAGGGCATGAGTCATTTACTAATCTCCGCTCTCGAGGGTCTAGTTTGTGCGATATTGCCATTTTAGTTGTGGACATTATGCATGGATTAGAGAAGCAAACTATCGAGTCACTCAATCTTCTAAAGATGAGGAAAATAGAGTTTATCATTGCTTTAAACAAGGTGAGTTTAATAAAATGATACTGCCCTTTTTATTGGCTTCTTGTGATGAGATTAAAGATGCATTTTTAAATTGTTTTTTTTAAAATTAGGTTGACAGGCTCTATGGATGGAAAATTTGCAGTAACACACCTATTCAGAAGGCAATGAAACAACAGAATGCGGATGTAGTGCGTGAATTTAATGAACGGGTCATTCAGGTCATGCTCGAACTATTTTTATTTATCAATGACTTTAATCCTCTAAATTGACATTGGTTTGCTTAGCTTATTATGGAAGCATTTTGAATTTCAGATAGTGACACAGTTCAAAGAACAAGGAGTGAATTCAGAATTGTATTATAAAAACAAAGATATGGGTAAAGATACATTCAGCATTGTTCCCACTAGTGCCGTGAGGTGATTCCATTTATTCATTTCCTGTTTATGGTGCATGAGTTATATGTTGTATTATATATATTTACAAATTTCCTTTTTTGAATTGGGCCTTTTTTTCCCCAATGTTAACATCATTTTTTAAACCTTACTGATGTTATGGCCATTCTTAATTAACAGTGGTGAAGGTATTCCTGACTTAATGCTATTGCTTGTCCATTGGGCTCAAAAGACGATGGTTGAGAGACTTACATTTAGCAATGAAGTCCAGGCATGCTTTCCTCATGTATCTTGTTTGAGTTTCTCGGAAATATACTGTGAAAGTAGGTCGTTCTGAATGTTGTTACCTTCTGGCAGTGTACTGTCCTGGAGGTAAAGGTTATTGAAGGCCATGGGACTACAATTGATGTGGTACTAGTTAATGGGGTGCTTCATGAAGGAGACCAAATAGTGATTTGTGGCACCCAGGTAAAAATAATGCCTTAATATGGTCTATACTCTGGAAATTGTTGTTGCAGTTTTATTTATGACTAAAGCTCTTTTTTTGATGTTTAAGGGTGAACCTATCGTGACCACCATCCGGGCATTGCTGACTCCTCACCCAATGAAAGAACTTCGAGTGAAGGTTAGTGCCAATTCTTCTTGTGATTTTTGTTATTATTAAGGTTGTATACATTCAATGTTAAGTAACCATTTTTTTACTTGTGATAACTATGCTCTTCTCACTGCATGCAACGGAGGGTCTATAACAAAAGGAATTCTTTTTAGATTAAGAACATATATGGAATTGACAAATGAAATATACATGTAGCCTTAGGTTTTATGTGATGCATGAATAATCTTACTAAGGGTTTTTCTGATTCGTTTGCAGGGTACATATTTGCACCACAAAGAAATCAAGGCTGCACAGGGCATAAAGATTACTGCACAGGTATTGGCTAGTATGTTTGTAATTTTCAACTACATGCTAATATATATTCTAATAGAAGTATGTACTTTCTGCCGATGTTTTTTTTGCATAATTTTATGATTCCCAAACATGTAAATGGCATGAGAACATTTATAGGTTATGAAGTATTATTTGTGTGAGTAAATTTAATGTTGTTATGTTACTTGATTTTAATACAGTTTCCTTTTGCAATCTACTCCCTGCTCCCCTACGTATTTCCCTACAGAAATTCTTAATCACAGTTATCCATGTTGTGGTCATTGCGCCTTTTTTTTGTAGTAATTTTCACATTATGTCATTTTCGTTATCAGTAGGGAAATAATTTGACATGTTAGTTTGTTCTTGATTAAATCATAAACATGGTTTAGGTTTCTAGATTTTGAAGTTGAGTGCACACCCATACTTAGACCTGGCAAAAAGTGACCCGACCTGTTTTTGACCCGAAACCCGACCTGAAAACACTGGGTTTTGAACAAAGGTTTTGATGACCGAACCCGAAATGACCCGCTAAAAATGGGTCAAACCCGACCGAACCCGAACCCGACCAACCTGTTAAAGTAAGAATTTTTCAAATTTATATACTTTTTTACTCGTTTTTAGTGTATAAATTTATATTTTCAGATAAAATTTTAATGATATTGCAAAATTATCTTACTTTTTTCCAAAACGTAAGCATTTTTAAATTTCTTATATTTATTTATATATATAAAAACTACTTTAGAGTTTAAAATAAAATAATATTAAAGATTTAATACTTTTTTTTGATATTTTAAATTTATTTAATAGAAAATGTAAGTGTTAATGTGAATTTAAAAATTTAAAAAACCAAAGTCTTAACCCGTTGGATCGACCCGAACCCGATGACACTGGATCATGAACATACAGTTCTCAACCCGAACCCGAATTGACCCGAACTCGAAATAACCCGAACTTGAAGTGATCGAACCCGAACCCGACCTGACCGACCGATTTGCCAGCTCTACCCATATTGTTAGGAACTATGCACAATTGGGTTACATGTGTGTCATTGCGAAGAGGGAGTATGTGTGTGTCTATGTGTGTGTGTGTTGTGTGTGTTTGTGTGTGTGTCTATAATTTGTTTGCAATGTATTCTTGTGCAGGGCCTTGAGCATGCTATTGCAGGCACTAGTTTGTATGTTGTGGGACCAGATGACGATGTGGATCGTATAAAAGAAACAGCTATGGAAGACATGAGGTCAGTGATGAGCAGGATTGCTAAGAGTGGGGAGGGTGTTTATGTTCAGGCATCTACGCTTGGATCACTAGAAGCTTTGCTGGAGTTTCTTAAGAGTCCTGACGTTAGCATACCAGTCTGGCATTGGGATAGGACCGGTACACAAAAAGGATGTCATGAAAGCTAGTGTCATGCTTGAGAAGAAGAAAGAATATGCAACAATCCTTGCTTTCGATGTTAAAGTCACTCAAGAGGCTCGTGAACTTGCAGATGAATATGGTGTGAAGATTTTCATTGCTGATATTATATATCATTTGTTTGATCAATTCAAAGCCTACATTGATAATCTCAAGGAGGAAAAGAAGAAGGAAGTTGCTGAGGAAGCAGTGTTTCCCTGTGTTCTTAAGATTGCACCTCGTAGCATTTTCAATACGAAGAATCCCATCATTCTGGGCATTGATGTTCTTAAAGGCATAGCTCGGGTAATTAACATCTCCATCTGTGGTAATTGTTGGTTCGTGCTCTGTATTTTAATCTCTTAAGATAACCAATCTTAGTTAGCATCAAACACTGTTCTCAATTAAGTTGGCTTGTGGGGTTAAAAAACACAAGTGCAAGTGTCTAATCTCAGCACAAATGGTTTGCTAACCACATAAAATTGCAGCACAATCAATAATGACTTCACAAAGTGTATCTGCAAGGCCTTATATTCTGTCATATATATGTATGTATGTATGTATGTATGTATGTATAACGAGGTTTGTTCATTGTTTTGCGATTCTTTCAGGTTGGGACTCCTATTTGTATTCCTTCAAAGGGCTTTGTTGAGATTGGTCGAATTGCTTCTATCGAAAACAACCATAAACCTGTCAGCTCTGCAAAGAAAGGAGAAAGAGTGTGCATTAAGGTATGTATCCAGCTACAATTTGTTTTGAGGGAATGCATTTTTACTTGTGACTAAGAAGACCAATGGTGCTTTAATGTCCTTCCCACTACTCATAACCGGATATACTTGGGACATGACTTTGATTAAAACCATGTTGATGTCACAGATCGTTGGGTCAAATTCTGAAGAGCAACAGAAGATGTTTGGCAGACATTTTGGCGAGAAAGATGAACTCGTCAGCAAGATTTCTAGGAGATCAATTGACATAGTCAAGGAGCATTTCAGGGTATTTAAACAGTTTTATTAATCTCTCTCTCTTTTTTTTTATATTAAGGAACGTGCTTTTTTAAGCCGTGTATGCCGAAACTTATTTCTTCTTCTGTTTCTAAATCATACAGAAAGATCTTTCTGACGAAGAATGGGATCTGCTTAGGAAACTGAAGAGCATCTTCAAGATACAATAATGAGGTGTCAATGTTAGTTGTTTCCACGAATTCTCAAGCATTGAAGAGGCAACTGATTCCAGTGAAAGCTCACTCACTATTTGGAGTTATGAAAGATTAACCATTGCGGTTCTTCCAGATGCGCCTATATATGGATGATGTATCTATAGCTGAGAGCTCTCCGATGGGGTTCAAGTCGCCGGCGGTTATTTTTTCCATTATTATTATTATTGATATATAACATTTACTCTTATGATCATTCTTGTAATTATTAGTTCATTCATTAACCTTATAATATAATTATTCTTGTAATCATACTCCTCCCCACTCAGTGTATATGTCCCGGGTGAGCTCTAATTATCAATTATTTCCATTTTTATTGTATATTACTACAATGAGAGCTCTAATATTTTTTTTTTTTGAAAATTAGCAATAAGATCCATCTACGTAAATCATTTTATACTGATCTATATTGTATGGAGTACTTTTTTATGTAATTGAAGTTCAAACATTATTCCGTTGGATTTGAAAAACTCAAATTGAATGAATACATTAGGATCAAAGTAGTATTACACTTTAGAAAATCGGTCAAGTTAAACAACAACAACAATAATAATACAAAGTACTCCTTCCGTCCCGTTTTAAATAGCATGTTTTGACTTTTGGACAAATTTAAAGAAGAGAAAAAATAGAGTTGATTTTTCAAAATTGCAATTACTTTTTAGGAGGGGTGCAGATGAATGAGAAGATAAGGTGGAGAAGAGTGACTTATTTTAGGAGTAGTTTAGGTATTTTACTCTTAAAAGTTTACGATAACAAATAACAGTCTACCGTTTGGTCTGGTTCTAACTCAAAATTGATTTTATTCCCGACTTTGAAAAATGACCCAATCAAGGCAAAATTTAGAAACTCTTGGAAAATATTTTTACGTGCAAGGGCATAAGTATAACTTTATTTTATCAAGCTCTTACATTTTTCAAATCTAAACTCGAATGAGTTATTTCTTGGTGAAATCAACCAAGTTAAGAGAGGTTCGGGTGTCTCGTTTCATCCTGCAAAAGGTTAGTACTTTGGAAGACTTATTTGGCACATCAAAACGTGGTGAGTTTCGGCATTCAAGGCCAACAAACAGCACCTTCCCCGCCCCCCAAATCAAAAAAAGGTTTTAAAGGAATAGTCGATGGGCTTTTAGCAAAAAAAAGGGAAGCATGGTCAACCTTCGACGAGTTCAGGTGGTACAACTGTAAGCTCGCACAATAAACTTGTTATGTACCAAGGGGTGCCATGCGATTACAACTACGACGTGGAGTCGACGTGGAGTTTGACGTCCTCGCATGGTGGAAGCGGAACGAACACATGTTTGGGGATAAAACTAATTACGGGGTATAATTTATCCAATTTCATCTCATTATAATCAATTTTGCTCAATGTTGACTCTGCTTTATAGATATAGGTACTACTCATGCCTCTCTGCATGCATAAAATAAAGATATAAACATAGACAGACGGACAGATAGATAGACACTACTCATGCCTCCCTGCATCTGAGTAAAATAAAGATAGAGATATAGATATGGGTATAGACATAGATAGATACCGCTCATACCTCCGTGAACGCATAGACGACAGGGCGTGAAAACCATAAAGATTCGATCTGGATACGCTTAAAGATCCAGCGGAGATTGAGAAGTATGTGGACGGAATAAGGTCGGAGCGGGAAAATGCCCGATTCCTATACGAGCTGATAAATGATGGCGAGGACCTAGAGGGCCTAAATGATCGTTTGCAGGAAAGATGGCTGTGGGGAGACGTAGGGTTCCAGAAATTGGAGGTGTCGATGGTTATTCCTATGCCTAAGAAAAAACACAACTATGGAAGCTTTCCTTAAATACACAAGAGCAGCTTTGTTTGCCCTGACCCAAAGGCCTTACAAGAGGCCTTATTAAAGAGATATGTACTTTGCTGAGTTTGAATTTTACATATTGGGTGCTCCTGTTGATGGAAGTTATAATAGTTGGTTATATATATAATATAATAATTGGTTAAATATTAGAAGTACCACTTAGTCCACATTTGTCCACCACTAATTTCCTCCTCACCACATAATATTTCTTTTCTATCCCTCACATATTTCTTATGTATCCTCACTCCGTTTTTATAAACGTATCTTGGTGATCTGGTGGTGTATAAAATGAAGTGTGTCTCTAGTATTTCCTTTATGGTTTTCACACCCTGTCGTCGTCGTTTATGCGTTCACAGAGGTATGAGCAGTATCTATCTATGTCTATACCTATATCTATATCTCTATCTTTATTTTACTGAGATACTGAGAGGCATGAGTAGTATCTATCTATCTATTCATCTGTTTCTATGTCTATATCTTTATTTTATGCATGGAGAGAGGCATGAGTAGTACCTATATTTATAAAGCAGAGTCAACATTGAGCAAAATTGATTATAAAGAGATGGAATTGGATAAATTATACCACGTAATTAGTTTTATCCCAAACATGTGTTCGTTTCGCTTCCACCATGCGAGGACGTCAAACTCCACATCGTTGTTGTCGTCGTAATCGCGTCGCACCCCTTGTTACATAGCAAGTTTATTGTGCGAGCTTACAGTTGTAGCACCTGAACTTGTCGAAGGCTGACCACGTTTCCCTTTTTTTTGCCAAAAACCACCGACTATTCCTTTAAAACCTTTTTTTATTTGGGGGGGCGGAGGAGGTGCTGTTTGTTGGCCTTGAATGCCGAAACTTACCACGTTTTGATGTGCCAAATAAGTCTTCCAAAGTACTAACCTTTTGCAGGATTAAACGAGACACCTCCTAACTTGGTTGATTTCACCAAGAAATGACTCATTCGAGTTTAGATTTGAAAAATGTAAGAGCTTGATAAAATAATGTTACACTTATGTCCTTGCATGTAAAAACATTTTCCAAAAGTTTCTAAACTTTGCCTTGATTGGGTCATTTTTCAAAATCGGGAATAAAATCAATTTTGAATTAGAACTAGACCAAACGGTACCCCATGCTGTGCTAACGGTACCTAGCTACCGTTTGGCTTATCGATACAGGAGGTAGGTACTGCCTGGCCAAATTGTGGCTAAGTGTCAAAGGACTCAACCGGTACCCACTACCGTAACCCTAGGTAGGTACCGACCGTTAGAACCCTAGCTTAGCCCAGAATGAACTGTGGCGGTACCCCCTACCATTGTAACGGTATCCAGGTACCGCATGAGGCTTAGGAAATTCAAATTTGAACATCGAAACGGGACTTGTCACGGGACCCTCTATCGTTTCAACAGTACCCCCTACCGTTATCGTTGGAGAAAAAATTCAAATTCTGGATTTCAAATCTAATCACATTTATTTAGTCAAAATCCTTCCAAATTTGTCTCCAATGGCCAAATAACTTTTTCCACTATAAATACAAGCTTAATCCTTCATATTTTAACATCCTCCCTTTATACTCCAAGTGTGTTCATTTTTTTATTCATTATTATTAATATTTTGGCTATTTCAAGAGCCTTAAATTCTTGATTTTATACACACAATTTAAGCTTGTGTTTCTAGTTATATACTCTCATTTCCATAAGTTTATATTGTGTTTTTGAGATAGTATAATCTCTTTCTACACCGGCTAAGTTGTGTTCTTCACTTTTATATTCTAGCCGTTGTGTAGATTCTTTGTTTGTGTTCTTTAAACACACTTTCTTACAGTCGAGAATAGCCGTTAAATTCTAACGTTGTAACGGTCGAGGATAGCCATATAAATCCTTGGGTAGAAGGATCAAGGATGGCCTTGTAAATCCTTGGGGAACAATCGAAGATAGCCATGAAATCTTAATTGTAAACGATTCGAGATAGCCGTTGTAAAATCTCAAATTGAATCCTATTGGCAAGGATTGTTTGCCAAAACTAGTGCGCTGCTTTGATGGAGTTCAAGAGACCGGGACTTAGTGGATTCGGAAATCCTTAAGGAGGAGCCTTAATGTATTGGAGTAGAGATTTCCCGAACTAGTAATAAATCGGTGTGTCTTTTACTTTACGCTTTTATTTCTTCATTTTATTTATTGCTTCCGCATTTGCCAACACCGTTTTTATTAAACTCCGAAAAGATTTTAAACGCCTAATTCACCCCCCTTTTAAGGTGTGGGCACAACGACTAACACTGCTTCTTCCGGTACATTACCGTATATCCCTTGAAATTCCTTAAATAAAGCCTCAAAAAGAGTAATAACATTATCTCTTTCTTTTGCGCATTCAATTAAATGATTGTATTAATAATTATTTTCATCTAAAAAACAAGTGTAGTAATAGTCAATTAGAATTTTAAAATTTTCAATCTTAAAGCGAGGATCACAAATAATACCTACTCTGTATTTTATAAACATCAGGAATGTACAAATAATAAGCATACCATTTATCTTTCATAAGAGAGACATAAGGGTACAAATCTGGATCAGCTAAACTTTCATGAAAACATGTTGCGATTGTAACACATTCTTTAAAAAATCTATTTGTAGTTGGTTGGTAAACATACGAGAAAGTAAGAGTTGCATTATTAAAAACTTCTAATACGTCATTCAATTTTTCAACAATAACAAATTCTTTCAATGAAATCATAAATCTAAGTTCATTCCTAAGAAATTCATCAAATTCCTCTTTCTATCTTAGAATCTGTGCTATCAACTTGTATGTACTATTCCATCTAATGGTGATATCTTTAGGCTTTAGCAAATGTTATTGGTCTTCTATCCCTAGATTTACAAAATGACTTCCAAGATTTCGAATTAATACGACTACCCCAAATCTTTTTAATTCCATTTTTAATATTCATCAAACCCCACATAGCTTCTAATCCTTGTTGATCACATAAATTTAAAACATGACAAGCACACCTTTGATGCAGAAATCTACCCATACTCGTAGCAGGGGGGCAAATTCCTTTAAGTCTAGGAATAGCAACAGTATTATTAGAAATCACCCCTAATAGGACTAAAACATTGTGCTTATCCCTAAAATAGGAGTTCATGTTTTTTATCCCCCAAATAGGACCTCTCCCGCCACATTCTTTCTTTCTCTCCCGATTTTGCCCTCTTTTTCCTTTCCGTGTCACAATTCACAATCTGCCCCGTCTACATTACAACTCTTTGTAATACACATTACCACATTACATACTGTGACACTTTACATTACAATGGTTCGTAATATTCATCACCACATTACAAATTATGACACTGGTAATATCCACATTACATATTTTGTTGGACTATCATGAATTTTTTTAATTGCATATTAACCATTGCATATTTTTATTTTTTGTTATGCATTTAAAGTCAACATGTCCATATGAGTTTAAAGGACAAAACATGGACATGTTGTGAATTCTAATTGGATCAATTTATTTGCGTTCATGCGGTGGCTGCTGTTAGGAGACATCCCGGCTTATCTTGTTATGATTTTATTTCTCCTTTCTACAAAATTGAGACGTTAGTATATATGTACATATGCTGGTATAGTCCACCCAAACACATAGAAATCCTATTCCATGAGTGGAAGATCCAAACACTATTTGATATCACTTTATGTTGCATTACATGACTTTTTTTAGTATGATTTAGTTGTGTTAAAATTGCTTGTACTAAGATGTAATGTACTTTTTAAAATGTCCTTCCTTGTTGACACTTTTATTTCATAATTTCGTTTCATTTAAATAACCTTTGTATTCAACGCTGTGTACAGTGCCACAAATTGGCATATACATGACCAACTTTAGGGACTCTTATAAATTGTTGTACGTGTAAATGAGAAAACTAAAATTTCATATTGCAAATGGCCACCTTATGTCAACAACAATGCAACAGTTAACTTTAATAGTAATATACTTATTTTATGTTTGGTAAATAAAGGTTTGCGGCAAGATGAGAGGGAGGGTAGGGTATTTTGGGGATGGCCATGCAAACTAAGTCCTATTTGGGGAATTTATGTTTTGGACTCCTATTTAGGTATATTTGATATGTTTTAGTCCTATTTAGGTTTTTTTTCCCAGTATTATTAGTAGCATTATCAAAACCAAATGCAAACACTTTATCAACTAAATTGTATTCTCGCGGAATACGCTCAAGCAAAGCCTACAAAGAAACTCCAGTTCTTAAATGTACAACAAAATGCACACACGCCACAAGCAAACAGGTCGATTCGGAAAGAGTGGCACTTACATAGTCATAATTGTCTAGCAAATTAGTCCGATACGCAGCTTGATCCCTTTGAAGTACTTGTAATGTCTGATACAGGGTACAGCATGTGTAATATACGCCAAATTAAAGGGTTGCAGTTCCAACAAACAAAAGACACACACACACACACAGAGAGAGAGAGATAGATACCTTCTGGATAACTTTCAAAGTCTCCGTGCAATCCCACTGGCATGTTAACATTAGTTTAATCAAGTCAAAAGACCACAACAGAGTGAAGTTTTATCATATTTATTTTCTTCCTTTTGTGTGTGTGTGTGCGCGCGGGGGGCGGGGGGGAGTTGAAATAAAGAGAAACCTAACACGCGGTCATAGGGCTGACAGTGCATGTGGATATGCACTACTGACTATTTGCATTGAAAAAGGAAAACAAAAAAACCTTGAATTTTTAAGAACACAGTAAACATGACAACAGCACCAACTAAAACCCACTAGAACCCCACATTACTGCTGATTGTCACTGGAATTCTGGGCATAGCAGCACTATGTATGGATATTTGTTTGAACAGAGTTACAGTTGTGGTGTATGGAGGGGTAGCTAACTAGCTATTCATTAATCTATTGTTACGACTTATGAATACATGAACTTAATAATTGACATAGCTAAAACTATTTTTAAAAAAAGGCAGCCAGAGAAGACGTAAAGTTAAGAAGAGTCATGGACTTGGCATTTTGCAGACTTGCGGAAATCTGCTTTGAGTTGCATCAAACCAAATGGAAGCCACGAGTTGTACTCTTCTTCTTTATGTTCCATTTTACTGGTTAACACAAGTTGCTTGAGCGATGCTCAATATGTTTAATTTTGTAATCTGACGGTGTGCAGGCCAAGGTGAGCATATGACGAATGGGTAAAAAAAGGAGGTCTTGACAGGTAGGTTTTAAAACAGATTTGATAAAAATTATTCCTCGTGTCTCCATATAAAAATCCTTGTTCAACTCCGAGAAATCATAACCCCGCGGATATATAACATCCATTAACTCAAAAAGAAGAGCATTATATAACATATAACCGAAACAACAGCTTCAATAATAACATGATAATAGAGAAGAGAAGAGAGACGTACAGGCAGAAATGGACGTGACATATTAGTGGGAGGAACGCCGTTCTTCTGGGATGAAATAGAATCGTCCTGCACAAATAGTATACTGAAAATTAAGAAGAATGAAAGCCAATATAGAGAAACTTAAACTGCGGCTTATAGGCTGGCATATTCGGCCATGAATTTATAAGAATATTGTAAACAACAACACCAAAACCAACCAGTAGAACCCCACGAAAGTATGGTCTGGGGGAGGGGATGTGTACGCAGATGTTACCCCAACATGAGAAAGGGGAGGGGAATACTGTAAACGTAAATATCTCTATTGATAGAGCCAAAGGGTAGCGGCTGGGCAGCGGGTGAACATGATTATTTTTATTTAAAAAAAATGAAGGCACATAACAGAGGGAGCAAAGTCCATATCTTAGTGCTCGACTCCGAGAAAACCTAGATCTGTTCATGTAAAATAGCCATTAATTCAAAAAGAAGAGCATTTAGATTACAAATAGCAACAAAAATCGAATGATAATAATCATAACAATACTTACAGGCTGAAATGAAAAAGGCATATCAGCGGGAGGATCATCATTCATTACCTTCTGGGATGAAGGAGAATCGCTCAGCACGAATATTTTAAAGAATCATGATATATAAAAATGTACAACTAGACAAAAGTTGATAATTATTGAAACAGATAAAGAGAGAGATCAAGAAATCGAACCCCAAATTCCTTAGCTCTGAATTCTTCATAGGATAATCCCTCCTCCATGGCGTGTTGATAAGCTTTCACGATCCCCATCTCACCCTTCCCCTGCGAAACCTAATTGCGAATCCCAATTTTCAACCGTTGTATACACTGTATATCTCTCTCTGAGAACGGCCACCCATAAACAGGGGCCTGGGCCAATATGAACCCAATTGCCACTTAGGTTCCAGTTGAAAGTAATTTGAATTCGACCTGAAATTTGCACTAAATAGTACTCCCTGCATCCGGAAAAGAAGTTCCCGGTTTGTGTGTAAATTGTCCAAAAAGCCCTTGCCCTTCACCTGCCCTTCACCGGCCATTTCACCGTACCCTTCTCCTACTACCTTCGCCAACACCCATCGTCGCCCCTTGATCCGATCATCTCCGCCCCTTGCTCCGATCATCTCCGCCGCAGGCCCGCCGCCGCCGTCAGCTTCCCCACCGCCGCAGGCCCGCTGCCCCTTGTAGATCTGGGAAGACTGAAGATTTTGACTAGGGAGAAGAAGAAGAAGAAGAAGAAGGTGACCGGAGAAAGAGAAAGAGAAAGAAAAAGCAGATCTACAGAGGACTAGAGGAGATTTTGAGAAGAAGAAGAAAACAAAAGGAAGAAGAGGAGAAAGAATTGGGATAGAAGAGGATGAGAAAGAAATGGAGTGGATAGGGGAAGACGTCCAGATCCAAAAAAAAAAGAATTGGGAAAGAAATTGAGAAGGGTTTGAGATAAGAGCATCTCCAATAGCTTGCTAAAATTATTTATTAACATGTGAATAATGGTATAGCAAGTCATTTCCATGATCATCTCCAACCTTTGCTTGCTACCCGGAGTATAATTTAGCAAAACTGTATTGATTTCACTATTAGAGTACATTATTTAGTATAATTTTAAAAATTTTATATAAAAATTAATTAATATTCTACAAGTATGCAATTTAAGCTTAAAATAAAATAAATTTTATAATTTTTTTGGTAAAAAATAATTTTTTTTTGTAAAAAACATAAAATAATATTTATTAATTTTTCTTGCATTGTGATACTGAAAGTGAGGGAACAAATGTGTCATGGTACATGAAAAAACTAACCCAACCAAAATTTTTCTTCTTCTTTTTGGCTTGCTATATTTTATCAAGCTTGTTATTAGTAGCAAGCCATTTTCATTTTTAAGCAAGCTTATCAAACATTAGCAAGCCCCTTGGAGTATGAAATTTTACTTAGTTTGTCAAATAGTAGCATATAGCAAGTCATTTTAACATGGTTGGAGATGCTCTAAGAAATTGGGAATTGAAAATGAAGGGAGAAAGAGAAAAAAGGAAGAAGAAAGGAGAGAAGGGTATTTTAGGAAAAATGAGTATGAAAATGTATAATGAAAACTTCTTTTTCGGACGGAGAAAAGCGTAGAATGGAAAGTTCTTTTCCGAACACATGGAGTATATAAAACATACTACGGTATTGTCGGTATGTATCATTTTTTAATGTACTCCCTCCGTCCAGAAATATTCTTCTCATTTGACTTTTCTTGATCAAAGTCTGTAAACTTTGACTATGGTATGTTGAAAGAATATGTTGTTTTGCAATATAACTTTAATATGAATATTTTCATTTTGAAATATAGTTTTCAAATATCAAATTTTTATAAAATATATCCATGTATAAATAAAGATATTAGTAGTCAAAGTACAATCTTGAAGAGCGTAAAAAGTCAAATGGAAAGAACATTTCCGAACGAAGAGAGTAGTATTTAAGCTTTTTTATTCTTTAAAAAGTTTGTGCAGGTTGAGCCGGGGTAGCTCCCATGACGACGCCCACTACCACTGCAATTCTCCGTCGATTGAACCATTTTCACCCACTAATTGATCGAACTGGTCGATGAACGGCGTTTCTTGATTTTCTTGGATGGATGGGGGTTTAAAGTTTGAACAGAGAGGGAGGAGAGACAGAACGCAAGCAAGAAGAAGGCGGGTCTCCGATCCACGTATTAAAAAAAAATGAGTTTTTTTTGGAGTAGTATATAACTAACGGCTACACAAAAATTTTAACTAAGGAGTATTTACCACTTCTTTTTCTCTATTCAATTTATTTATTTTATTGTAACTATTTCCTCCATCCCAAATTATAATGCATGTTCACTATTCACAGAGTCAAATTTTATTCATTTTCTTTCTCAATTTTCGTTAGTAATTTGATAAAATAAAATATTGTTGTCACTACTAGTTTTGTAGATCTTTTGATGTAGTATTTTAATATGTACTCCCTCCGTCCGGAAATATTCTTCCCGTGTTGACTTGGCAGTTGACACGCTTATTAAGGAATAGTAAAAAAAATGTAAATTTTCAAAAATGCACATACTATAAACTTTAAATCTTTTTTTATTATTAAAAAAATACTAAAAAAGTAGATTTGTGATAAAATAGAAGGTTATTATTGATATTTATCCTTAAAAAGTATACTAAAAAAGGAAATGGGAAGAATATTTCCGGACGGACCAACAAGGAAAGTGAGAAGAATATTTTCGGACAGAGGGAGTAATTTTTATTTTTTAACTATATATCATTTGTCATATAAAATGATTTGAAAATAATTTCAGACAAACATCGTAAACCGAAATAGGTGTTATAAAATGGGACGGAGGGAGAATAAAATTTAATAACAATAAAAAATACTCCGTATAAATTTACATACTATTATTACAATTATTATTTCTTTTAGTCTACATTTTATTATTAATGCTGTTATCATCGATCTATTTCAATTAAATAGAAAAAACAAATTGTGAAAGAAGAAATAAAAAATGTGAAACACTCGGAACTTAATTTTAATAGAATGATACACTCAAGTAAGGCTTAATTTAACATTCAAAGAAGAAATAAATAATGTGAAACACTGCAAGCATAATTTAAAAAGAAAAAAATTATTTTGATAGGAAAAATTAGAAAATAAAAAATAATTTATTCATTACTCTGGTCTATAACACATTGTAATGATAGAACACTACAAAAATAATACTCCATAGTACGGGATACAATAATTAGATTGAATCAGATCAAAATTTAATAAAATTAACTAAATAAGATTCAAATAGATAAGACAAAGAGAACAAGATGTAAATACCCTTTCACATGAATAAATCATACGCATAAAAATTACTCGCAAAAAAATTAAAAAACTAAAAGGAAAGGGATTTGTTCAAAATTTGTTAAACGCACAACAATTGAAATAGATGCAGATTTTGACTTTTTGTTAAAAAGAAAAGATTTAATTTGAGACCAATTAGAAATGAAAAATATACACAACGCGTGTATTATAGAGTTAATAATGAGTAATATAGTGAGTACCATATTCTATAGTTGAGATGCCCTAGGTGTACCGCAGCTAGTATACACCAAGTGTGCACAGACGTCTCACAGACACACACAAAAAACACTAACGGGTTAGTATTTAATTTTGTGTGTGTTTGGTGTATACTTGATCTACACCAGTCGAGGTACGCGGCGCACTCAAGTTTCTCCTCTATAGTTTGATTAACATGTTCAAAAATGTTAGGGGTACACTTTTAATGTATCCCAATCCCCCCAAAGCCTGCTCACCATAGAAATATTAGTTGATAAAAAAAGTAATTAGATAATAATTAAATATATATTTAAACTAGATTGGATAGTATACAAATAGGAGTTGGTGTATCCCTAACATCACTCTAACATGTTTGAGGGTTGAAGTGTTTGGAGTGTTGTGGGGTGATAGTGTGATACTATAACTCTGGTGTTTAATACCCCATGCACACGTTAAACTTTTTAAACAAAAAATTGAAGGAATAAAACATGGTTGTGTTATAAGTGTCATGTTGGATAATGTTTTTTTATAAGTGTATAAGTGTCATGTTGGATAATGTTAAATTAAAAATGTTTTGCATTCTTGCTAATGGAATTTTAACTTTATTTCTTTAATTTATATTTGTAGAATTTAGTCTGAATAAACAATTTCTTAATTTTATTTTACTAAAACAAATTTTAATTTCAGTTTTTTTTAGTGAACATTCTAATTAAAGATACATACATACATATATATATATATATATATAGTGCACATATGGTGTGTCTTGATAACTACCAAAGAGAAGAACAAAAAAACAATAACAATTCACATAAACATGTGCGCTATAATTTTTTTTTTTTGAGAAATATGTTAAAATTCATTTATACTCTTCCTGATATTTCAGCTAATTTGACGGATTTATATCAAGGATGTAGGTAATTAAGCGGACAACAAGCTGCGCGCGCTGCCACCCCTTTTTGGATAGTAAACCCTATTCTACAGAAAACATATTCCTGACTATTCGAAGCCGATACATTGTTGTGAACGTAACAACCTTATATTATGAATCCGACCTAAGAAATGCACAGTTTCAGGGACTATGGAACCAAAAGTGTCAAATGCAAAAGGAACAAGCACATGTTGATTCTCGGAACAGGTTTTATCATGTTTGTCCAATTTCTTGATCATCTCAGCCTTCAAAACCGCTTGTCAATTATAAAACCATTACCCCGAATATCCACAAGGGGGACACACCAGTGAAGTTCACACAAGCTAGCATGTTTCTCCCCAACCTATGCAAAAACCAAAACATGCATCAGCAGGCCGTAGGGAGGACCTCCCCTTAAAATAGCAAAATATTACAAAGCAAAATATTATCGTGTTCTTGAGTTATGAAAACAAACACTTGCAAATGGAGAGAAATGAAAGATTATGTTACCTAGTAAAGATGAAATATTGGAAGAAACCTTACAAAATACATGAGTCTTAAAAAGAGGACAATGAAATCATTGAGCAATCCAAATAAAATCATCTGGCATCCACTAATGTATATACAACATTAATTTATTTTTTTTACACTTTTTGTTTTTACTTCTCTTAAAATAGGCAAAAGGATTATATACATCGTAATCAAATAAGGAGTCAATCTCCAAATTGAGAAAAATAAAGAGAACTTTTATATGAAGTCTAAGACTGCATAACTTAATTAATTAATAATAATAGTGATGCAAAAAATACACAAATATTATTAAACAGACCATGGGATTATAAACATCGTATTCAAATGAGGAGTCCTTCTCCCAATTGGGAAAAATAAAGAGAACTTTTATACTCTCTCAGTCCCAAATTAATCCTCTTTATTTCCTTTTTTATTGTTCCAAATTAATTTTCTTCTTTCCTTTTTTGGAATGCTTTTTGTAGCTTACCTTTTTTCTCTTATGTATATCACTTTTAACCACACAATTTCACTTTTCCTAAAATCTGTGCAAAGTCAAACTGTGAATATTAATTTGAAACGGAGGGAGTATAAGACTACATCACTTAATTAATTAGTACTCCGTAACAATAGTTATGTAAAAATACACAAATATTACTTACTCTGCCACATTTTAAATTGTCTATTTCAATTTATCATATTTTACTAAAATTATTTTCAAATCATTTTATAATTAAAATATAAGAATTTCATGTTTAAAAGCTACATCAAAAGATCTACAAAACTAGTAATCACATGGACTAATAAAAAATGAGAAAAGAAAATGAATAAAATTTTAACTCTGTGAATTAGTAAACATGTAACTTAATTTGAAACGAAGGGAGTATTAATCTTTCAAGCTTAATTCATAACTCATCACTCTTATTTGGCTNGGGCATTTGGAAACACAATGGATGACAATGAGATGTGACACTTTTATATGGAGTAATTAGTTAATTAATTAATCAAATATATGCTTATAGGGGCTAATATTCTTAAAAATAAATATCCTCAGTATGTCACCAACTACCTTGAATGGCCCCAATGTAATTCTCATTGTGATCTTTGGTTGTTAGTTATCAATTAGGTCACCGGGAAATAAATTTAAAAAAACAAAGTACCTAACTTATAACTTCATCACTAAGAAACATGGTAGCTATTTAATTTACCCTGCACTTTTTTATCAACCAAAATTGCTAAAAAGACCAGTAAAATCTTCAATTACAGTGGTTTGCCATGTTTTTTCATGCTCATGTCCTGTGCCCGGCGAAGAAAACCAAGCCCCGCGCACATTGTGTCGGCCCAATTTTTGTGTGCTAATCTCAACGATTCAAACGCTCCGGGCACAATGGCTGCAATATGCTTCGGAAAATGATGATCTTACAAAGAAGAACCAACCAAACAATCCCTTATGCTTCTGCCACATTTTTAGTCTTAAGAATCTTTTCCTTCTTGTTGCTAGCTTTCTTAGTTGCTTGACTGCCACCATCTTCCTCGCTTTGATCTTCAATCCTTGCAAAAACCGGTTGTGGTTCAGCCATAACCTGGCCCTCCTTCAACCCGCCCCAAGCGGTATGACTCTGGAACAACTAAATTTGTCAATTCTAAAGAAAACAATAAGGGCCCGTTTGGTTCACCTGGGAACGAGTATCGACCAACAGTATGGGAATCCAAACGGCCCTAAGTAATATTTCTAGTCCAAGATGTAAGAACGTACCCATGTGATAGCATTGAACTGGTCTTTGGTGTAGCCGAGTTGGGTATAAATCCTCAAGCTTAAACTTGGTGTAACAGGAGATAAAGCCACTGCTATGATTCTCACAGCTTCCAATACAATCACAAGATCCTTTATCAAAAGAAAAAGGAAGAGTAAGTACACTATCCAATATGCCATTAATTCTGCAGATTTTCATCAGTCTGCATTTCTTCATGATCTAGTCTAGTTAATTAATGGGATGAAAGGATACCTTGGCTGCAGTTTCCAAATCTGCACCGCCTTTCTTGAAAAGTACCCATGGTGATTGTTTATCAATATATGAATTCCCTGCATTACCTATCTCTATCACTGCCTCACAGGCCAATGATAGTGCAAGTTTCTCATAATGGCTACGTGTCTTCTCAACCTACAGACAAAGGATATGATTAGTTGCTGAATCAAATTCATTACAACAACAACAATCAAGCATTATCCACTTGGTGGGATCGGCTAGATGGTTCAAATGACACCATGGTGCCCTATGCCCCTATCAGATCAAAGTCATTACATTAAATCTAAGGGTCTAAATTGATGGGGTGCTTGGTGCCATCAATGGAATCTACTTTCTACCCTTTGGGCAGAATCTCATTCACACCTACCCCTATGGCCCTGTGAGCATCCCCTTACTTGTAATATAGACATCCCTTTTAGAGTATAAGCATATTCTTGAAGAAAGTGAATCCCTTCTCGTGCAAGGAAGAAGAAAATCATTCGCTTAATCTAACAAACAGGTTCCGTTATCAAATTATATTAAAGAACTTGAAAATATTTCACATAACAAGTGTAGGTGCAATGTCCCCAGGTGTAGGGGCAAGGTCTGTGTAACTCACCACCCAGGCCCCACTTGTTGGACTACAGTCTGCAGGTAGGTTGTCGTGTTTGTAATCATATCAGGTTTGACAATGAAGTGAAGGGCTGGAGAGAAAGAGTGTTACAGACCATCAAAGCAAAAGCTACTGTCAGAATAGAATTACCAGTTTTACAACAGTGTCCTTCAATGAATTCCCTTCGGCAGCAACAATTGAATCAACTGGCAATGTAGAATGGCAGTTCTTCTTCAGTAGTCCAAGTGCACGACTTAGAAGATTTCCTGCAAAAGCAATGCTGAGTTGAAAATTGGAGGAAAACCTGCTCCAAAATGCGACTAAAGTGAACAGAAATGATAGAGGATTTATGAGACTTCCAAAGTACCAACTGTATTGGCAAGATTTGCATTAATAATGTTGATGAAGCGCTCCTCTGAGTAGTCCCCATCATTACCAAATTCCATCTCCCTGATGAAAAAATACCGGACTGCATCAGATCCAAACCTATTAACCAGATCAGTCGGTTGAAGTACATTGCCTAGTGATTTGCCCATCTTCATCCCGTCCTAAGATTTTATAAATAAAAGCAAAACAGCATGATTGCAAATAATTGTGCTTGAAAGTGTAGGAACAAATGCAAGTTTACATGGTATGCACATCTGAGAATTCAATGATCATTTGATATAAAAAAACACGCATTGGAAAGTGCATGTGAAATACCTTTGTCAAGAAGCCATGGCCAAATACCATCTTAGGGAGATCAAACCCAGCTGACATCAGCATAGCTGGCCAATATACTGCATGGAAGCGCAATATATCCTGTGGGACAATTAAGCAAAAAATTATAAATAAAAATTCCATGAACAATGGTTGCAAACATGAATATTTGGCCACTTCTGCTTTATATGAATTCTGTCCTTCACAGCATTTGAAGTAAAATAGCCTTTTGTCCACTACAGAATGACAAGCTGTTTAGACCAATATTTTAATGGGACCACTGAGTATATTTAAACATGATAAGACACATCTGAATGTGCAATAGGAAGGAAAGCCTTGTTTTTCATGAAATCAAAAAAAGGTTGTTTCCTTGCTGGCATGCCATAAGTATTTTTATTACCGACGCAATGGGAAAAATAAAGATGCTTCCGATTTCCAACTAGACACAATACAATTCTAAATTGTTAGATCACCTACAAAGAGATATCAGACCTTGCCAATTATATGTAATGATGCAGGCCACTTTGATGAAATAGCATGATGTAAATTAGGTGTATCCTCATCATCCAAAAGAGCAGATAAGTACCTGCATGAAACAACAAAAAGAGAAAAAACAAAAAGGAATTGAAAAAGATGTATTGTTCACAAGAAAGCAAAAAAAAAGAGGGGATTGAATAAGATGTCCTGAATCCTGATCACTACCCATACAGCTTAATGCATTGAAGAATACTACAGAATATTATTTTAAGGGGAATATATATTTTTAAATGATATTCAGGAAGCAGTCCTGAATACTACCCATATAAATACAAGGACTGAGGCCGACTGACTAACACTGCAAATGAGAGCTGAAATGCAAATTGCCCACAACTAAAGGGCCACTAAGGCATGCAGCAAACTACTAAAATGCAGTAGAGCATTTAATTGCGCAATCCTTTAGGATTCATGAATATGTGTATAAGGAAACTTGTAGAATTTATCTCTTATGTTGCGCTTGTAACAAAGGGAAACGGTTATTTTTCAATTAAAAAAAGATTGTGCTTTAACTTGATAATTTTTTAAACTTAAAGGATATAAGATAAGGTAGTTAGTATAACAAAGTAACAAACTCAATGTAAGTGATTCATTTAATGTCATCAATCATATATAATTTTATTAATTTAGAATTAAAATGACCTCTCCCTTCTCCTCAAATCTCCCCTAGCAAACATATCCTTAAAAAATTGAAAACTTGCCTCACTATATTTTAGAAAGGTTTCTTATTGGTTTATCAATTATCATTATAGAGTTGTCTCACATTTCTTAATCATAAATGTGATGCAATATAAGTATATAACAATAGCATAATTGCATATGCATATGAGGCTCACTTGTCCAAAGACAAATGAAGAGGGCCCTTTAGCTATAGGACTACCTTTCTCAATCGAGTCCTATAACTAGAGCATGGAGTCAGGAGATGGAAACCATGTGTCTCGACGCCAGAGACTGTCATCTGATACTGTTCCAATTTAACTAAATTCTGGGGTCGAGGTTCTGGAGATTGTAAACTTGAGTGTGGAGTCAGGAAACAGAACTGTCAAGCTGGAGTCTGACTGTCTGAGGATTGGAAAACGAAGTATGAACTCTGGAAGGTCAAGTCTGAAGATTGGAAACTAAAGGGTGGAGTCTGAAAGCTGGAGTCCGGAGACTGAAGTCTAAGAAGCTGGAATTAAAAGTTGAACTGAACAGGGCCAAATACAGAAACAAATATGTCACCAGTTGATAAATCTCCCAAGTATGTGTGTCATGACTGTCATCTTTTAAGGCCTTGTTCTTTAGGGCTTAATATTGACTAGAGTATGGAGTCTGAGTCTCGTAACTAGAGGATGGAACTGAGTGTCAGTAAAATGGAGCCACATGACTAGAAAAAAGAGACAAGAGTGTGAAGGTTAGATGCACAAGTAATTTTAACTAAAATATGGACTATCGAGTTTGGAAAACTAGAACTAAAGGAGGTGAAGTCTGAACAATTCAAACTAAAGAATGTGAAGTCTCAATAACAAGAACTAAAAGTTGAATAAAACAATATCTACTGTAGAGAAAAGATGAACCATTTACTGCCAAAAGATGTAATGATTATTAAGAAATACAACAGTTTTTTTACCAGAATAATATGGAAGTTGGGAATGAAGAAAAATATGGAGTATAAGAAAATATTATCCATCCTAAACCCACCACAAACATGTATACGGATACATGCACACATATTGAGGCACATACGCAGAGGGCAAGAGGCTCCAAGTACAAGGGGAAAATCTGAATTGCTCCAAGTATACAACAAATGTTATAAACAACAAAAATTAGTTAGAGTACTAGAAGAAGAAGAAAAAGATTACTCACCCCAACAAAGCATCAAACCATACATAAATGGTCTGCTTAGGATCATTAGGAACTGCAATACCCCAAGCTACTGATGCTCGTGAGATGGAAAAATCTTTGAGACCACTTTTAATCCAACCTCGAACCTAGAGACATTCTACATCAGTTTTGGAGGGGCCCAAAAGGATGAAAATATATTATTAACCAAACATAATCACTTTGTTTTAACTGGAAAGGGACGTCTTTAAGAAAGTTAAGCCCAATAAGTGTGCTACATGAATTTAAATACTGCAACAAACCCAGTATAATCCCAACTCGATTGAGCTTTTTTTTTTGGGGGGGGGGGAGGGAGATGTTGCAACCTTACCCCTACAAAAACCTTGTGAGGTTGTTTCCTCTTGCTACTTGAATTCAAATGCAAAAAAACAAGCTGATGATAGGTTATAAATAGCTCCTTATAAAGAAAAGGCCAACAAATATATTACTTCTTATTTGTAACAACTATAACACCATGGACAACTATAAGGACTTTGCTTCTAAGAATGTAATTGCATGCAAAGCAGCATAACAGGATTCATGTGCAATAATTTCTAAGATCCTTGTGAAGATCTTCTATTCCATTTTTGAGCTGATCAAATGAACCAACCTAGCAATATAGAAATTTCCATGAGAGAAATAATTGATGCTTCTCACCTCATTTAGTCGGGAAGCTGGCTGCACAAAATCAGGGTTTTCCTGTAATTTTTCCTCCAATTGTTTTTTATACTTTGACAGAGCAAAGAAGTAATTATCTTCTTTTCTTCTAACACATGGATTCAAGTGCACTGGGCAGCAGTCATTTTCTAGCAATTCTTTCTCATCCTAAAATGAAATTAATATAACACACTACTAAGATAAGAGCAAGAATCTTACACCCATGGGATACAATCAAGAAAGAGCTTGATGGTTGAAAATAGTCACATTTGTAAGATAAGTTGATCTCTTTGGTTGATGGACAACATCCACTTGGTTTCATTACTATGAATGGCCCACTATTTATCCAGAAAAATAAATGAGCATTTAGAAAAAATTGCTCTATTATGTGCACTAAGGGCACATGTTAAGAAACCAAAATTTGAAACTTATTCATAGGAAATTGGTAAAGTTACATTTACCTAATTTTTACAATGACTTCCAATGACAAAGTTACCAATTCTGGTTCCGTAACATGTGCCCTTATGGCACACAATAGAAACCCAATTTAGAAAACATCATAGCACGGCAGCATGTTGTAGTAAAACTGTATTTATTCAAAAGAGAAGTTCAGACATAGTGAGTGATTATTGAGCCAAAGCTTTGTTTTCATATGCACCCATTGGAGAAGTAAAGAGTCACAAATCACTCTACTCCATTTTCCAAGAACATATATATGAAATCAATCTTACTTTCAGCTGCATAAAAGCATTTTTCATGCATCTTAGAGTAATTTGATGAGTGCTTTAGAGGCATGTTGTCCATTAATTTCCTACAAGAGGATGAAACATGAACAAACTTCATATCTGCTACAAGACTAAAACTTTGAGCAAACTTTTTTTAACTATAAGCCCGATTAGTTGTATTATTACTTGAAAGAGTAGAGAATGGGCACACACAATTCATTAAGGGAAGCATATAAACAGATAAACAGATTATAGGAAGTTCTTAAAACGACAAATGAAAAACAAGATAGGTACTTTATCAAATACAAGAATGCACCTTGTACTCTTCACAATTGACACAATAAATTCCCTCGTAATCAGCTTTGTAAATGTCGCCCTTGGCAAAAACCATTGTGTAAAATTCCTTAACTACAGCTTCATGCTTTGGATCAGTTGTTCGAATAAACTTGTCATAACTGATTTCTAGCTGAACCAATAAGGTTTAAATAATAAAAAAGCAACCCAACTTAAGATCAATGACAAATGAAATTTCAGAAATAAATAATTTGATCTCTACTAGGAAAATCATACATCTTTCCAGAGAGCCTTGTAAGACTGTGAAACAAAATCACAGTGTTCGCTCGGAGTCCAACCACGAGCAGCCGAAGCAGAAGCAATTTTCTCGCCATGTTCGTCAGTGCCTGTAATGAAGATTACCTTCTTCCCCAGAAGCCTCTACCAATTTATTCAAAATATCCAACTAATTAGCCTAACAAAACATGGAAATCAAATTTTAAAATCTAAAATCCAAGATTTTTCTTAAACATTACAACAATTAATACATAAATGGAGATTGAGTGCAACCTGAAAACGGGCAATCGCGTCAGCTGCGATTGTAGTGTAAGCACTGCCCATGTGAGGAGGGGCATTCACGTAATAAAGCGGAGTCGTGAGAACAATAGCATCCGAACTTCCGCCGCCATCACTGCCGCTAGAAGTACAACAATACAGAGCGCCTCCATATCGCTGATAGTTCTGACGGATGAAAAATCGATACCTGAAATACTCCTTCTGGGAATTGAGGGAATTTGAGAAAGGAGAAGACTTTGGGGACGAAGATGATAGGAACCAGATGCCATTTGGTATGCACAGTTGAGCTCTACAGGCCATTGTGATGTTCTCTGGCGCCAATGCAATAAATCAAATGTTCTCCGAAAACGTTTTCACTTACTATGACCAGAAATACTGCGGATTTTTAGTTCATCTTTGTGACCGGAAGGAAATGATTTTCAGTAGGGTGTGCACAGGTCCAAAACTGGACCGGACCGGAACTGGAATCTAAAGACAGAAGACGGGACCTGTTGGTTACCAGTTATATTAAAAAATCACATAAACTAAAATTTGTTATGTAAATATACACAAAATTGATAAAACCATGATTTAATATCTCCACAAATTCATACCAATCACAATAGAGAGATAATTGACAGATTCACATAAAAATTGACCGGTTGAGTTTGACCGATTGGGCTTGAAGCAAATACCAAAAACATAAAATTTTTTATTTGTTGTTAAATTTTTTTAGTTCTAAAAAACTAAGAGACTAATATATACAAATCTAAAATTAGAATTAAAATTGAAATGTTAAGTATAAATTCATGCTAGGAATCACCATTGCTAGGAAATAGAAGTAGAAATTGAATTTATACCTCTTCTCCCTGTTTTTCCATTTCCGTCAGCAGCAATCCGCAGGAGAAAAGGATTCCGGCGACGGCGAGAACGAGCCGGCGACAACGATAAGGCGAGAACGATAGACGATTCCGGCGAAGGAGGAGCCGATTGACGAGATGCGGCGAAGGAGGAGCCGATTGACCAGAACGAGATGCGGCTGACGGGCGACGGATGTAGTTGTACTACGACTTTAGGAGATGCGGTTCTGGTCTAATGTTGGGCTTGGAATCCTTGGATAGTTGGATGAGTGGATAGGATAGGTATAAAAATTAAAAATAATACGGACCGGACCGGAACCCGGAATTCATAATTTCTTAAGACTGTAGACCGGACCTGATAATTCCGGGTCGGTCCGGACTGGTCCATTCCGTGCGGGTCAGGTCTAATTTCCGGTCCAGACCGATTCCTACACACCCCTAATTTTCAGGCAAGATGAGGCCTCCATCGACAAGATTTCACATCTCTTCCCATCTTCAAAATAGGTATTTTAAACAAAATACTCCCTCTCTTCTACTTGAAAAGAGTTCTACTTTTGACCAAGTGATAGAATAAGAAAGTGTTAAATTTAGGGCTAGGTTGGGAAAATCAAAAACCGCAAACCGAACCGAAATCGATCGAAACGAGCTAGAAAAAAAACCGAATCGAAAAAATCGAAATCGAATGTAAGAAAACCGAACCGAACCGTTAGTGTTTGGTTCTGTTTTGGTTTTCACTTTGAAAAACCGAACCGAACCGAATAAACCGAACTTTTTTAGATATTTCGCTTTATTTTTATGAATATATGTGATATGTAGAAAAGTCATAGAAATATAAATGCAAATAAATTACTAGTCGATTAAAATTATTTTCTTAACTATTAATTAAACATTCTAGCCATATTATTATAAACTTTAAAAAAACCTAAGAATATGAACACAAAAAGCTAATCCTAATATAGAATTATATTAACATTAAAAATTGATACGAGTAATTTTTACATAAAAAATACTTTGATGTTATAATGAAAATGAAAGTATTATACCAAAAACATAAATTCTTCGTAATTGATTTTACATACGATGTTTTTGGAAGTATTTGGAATCTTCTAAATGTTTGTTGGGCACTCAACACATATTTTTTATGTAAAATTGAACCGAAAGGAACAATAACCTTCCGTTTGGTTTTTGTTTTTGTGTAAAAATCAAACAAAAAAAACCAAAGCTAACACTATACATTGTTATTGTTTCATCGAGTTAGTGTTTTTACAATTTTTTAATGCTTATAAATTTCTACTTTTATAAACCGATAAAACCGAAAAAAAACGAAATAAAAACCGTATAAAACCGAACCGAATAACCAACGGTTTACATATTTTTATGCAAAACCGAACCGAACCGAACCGCCAATTTACCTTCCGTTTTGTCTTTGGTTTTGGGTGAAAACCAAACCGCCAAAACCGAACCCACCCCTAGTTAAATTGTAGTTGACTTCTAATTTTACCTTTGATCTGATGGTAAAAGTAAGATGTGTTGGATATATTATTAGAAAAAAAGTATGATGTGATAAGTAGGATAAAATACCATGAATAAAAATGGTCTTTTAATAGAAAGTTGAAGTGTTTTGTTAAAAGTAGAAAAAATGAAAAAGTAAGTATTTTTGAAAACGGTGGTAGTAGGCATTTTCAAAAATGAGACTTTATTTCTTGCCATCAATCTAATATAGAAATTTACTTTACCTCATATAATCAGGCAAGTTTGAGAGAGTCCTCGAGAATAAGGCTCCTCCCTTAAAATTACTCCCTCCCTCGAGCTTGTCTTTGTAAATGATTTTTCTATTTGTTTTTTTTTTTGTGCCAAATTTTATAAACTTTGATTTCGATGTATAAAAAATAATATTTTTATATAAATATAATATCAATAAATTCTTTATGAGACGTAGCTTTGAAATATTAAATTTTCATAAAATATATCCATGTATAGATATAAATATTAATAGGCAAAATATTACATTTGAAACTTTAAAAAATCAAATGAAAAGATTATTTTCGAAACAAAAGAGTATAGGACTAAACACATACTTAATATTTTGGTACGCCTAGCGAATATTAATTTTGAATAAACGTAATGTTTAGTTTTAATTGTAGTGTTCATTCTGAAGCTTCTTTATCATAGTATTCATTCTTAAATAATATAAGTATTCATTTTGAAATATGTTTATTTTGAAACAACGTAAAGTTCGTTCTAAAAATATATATTGTTTATTCTGAAACATTTTTTAATTATAAATTTGTCATGATATACCAAGATGAATGTACTTTGTTTGTATCAAATAATTTGCAACCAGATAGTACATTGATGGATTTTAGAACTACTAAAATAATAATCTCCACATTTATATGAGTTAAAGTATTTTTGTCATCCTAATATCCACACAAAATTTGTATTTCATATTTCTTCATAATACGCTTAAAAGAAAGTTTTGATTCTATTTATTTAAGTATTGATGGAAATCCAAAATTTAAAAAAATTATATTAAATATCAATAAAACAAGAGATGATTGAATTATAAACTAAAAAAAGTGTTATAACAAAAAAAACAAACTATACATAATTTTGTAATTGGAGTATATATTCATTTTTTGGTATGATTTAATTATTTGACTACAGTTAATGGCTTAAACTTGTTAGTTCATAGATGACTTATACCATATTTTACATTTAGAAGACCATCGATTAAATAAAACAATCAACCAAACATAGAAATTTATCGCGAACGCAAGCATTCTCCAAATCCAAGCCCCTATCAAGGACTGTCGGATAGGTCCGGACTACCGTACTTACATTTTTAACCCAAGATCTGTGAGTTATGCGAAGCTCGCCCCACGAGGCCCAAATCTTAAACTTTAATTTAACGGTGATTCAGAATTCAGATATTCATAGTTCACAATTTCAGTAATACCTCTTATCCCAATTAGATTTCAATAAGTTGCAAGTTTTCTAAGCTTACCAATCAATCATGACATGTGAGTAGCAGTAGCCATTCAAAGCAGAAAGAATAGTGCCACCATACTTCTTTTCTCCCACCAATATGAGATAACCACCATAGTTAATACTTGGATAAAGAACAAGGATGAAAGCTTGCTAGCAAAGAGACAGACAGTACCATGCAATTCATACCATATAAAAAGTTGGATGTGCCATCAAAATTTGATTTGTCTAAACATCACAACCACAGTCAAAGCGCGTTTAACTCAACGATAAATACATAATTAGGTTGGTGCTATGTCCTCCTCTACCTTGCCAAATGCAACCCCATTTATAAGAAATCAGAAGACAACTCCTTTTCTAAAGATTAAGGGCAACCTTTCTACTTCATTTCATATAAAAGGGGATGAATATAGCCATATAATAATGTTAATATTAATATTTATAGCTTAATAATAAATAGAAAGGAAGCTTATGAAACCGAGAGGCTAGCCAGAGACTCCTCTGCAGGGGCATTCACTTTGGGAATCCGAAGATTGTGTTCTTGGGCATCGCAGGTGGGACACAGATTGCTACGCACCAGCCATCTCACAACACAGTGAGAATGAAAAGCATGCCCGCATTTGAGATTGGATATCTGATCCCCAACGGTCGGACCGCGCGAGCAAATGTCGCACAAATCCATGAGAGCCGACCCCTGCTCCACACGTTCCACTCTAATCCTGGGCAGACTCCTCACGTGCAATAGGAGCGAGGGGTCCACGGGAGGCAGCATGGTGAACACGTTGGTGTACAACGGGCACAAGCGTTCTGGCCGGATTGCCCTCTCAAGGGTGAGGGCAATGGGCTCCCCAGCCTGCTGCACAGTGGAAACCTTAATCTCCACAAAAACAGGGATAACATCTAGATGGGGGCGATCGGCCCCCATCTTTCTGGCAAAGTCCACTGCAGAAGCACACAGACTAATTGCATCGTGTGGCATCATCCAGTACTCCACAAACAGCCTGCTGCCCATCAGCAAAAAAAGAATACGGTCACTTCTAGCCTCATTGGAGAAGCACGCGTGGAATGTTTCCTAACCCACGAACGCATGAGCACCCCCTTGTTCTTCTTCCACAATGAACTGGGTTCTGAACTTGAAGAAAAAGTATTTGGAATCCCTGGTGTGAAATCTCTTTCTCAGCTCAAACTCAGGGAGTTCATCTGGTTTCATTATCTCATCATCCATCTGCAAATCGTAACTGTACGCATATCCAAACTCACTGCCCATCTCTATCTGCCTGCCTCTAACCAAGAAGATACAGATTTGCCTCAATTAGATTTAGGAAGCCATCAATTATCCATCAAATCAAATCAATCAAACAAACATGGAAATTTACCTATGCAGGGATGGATATATTTAGGTTAATCGAATATTTACGTGTTTTACTCACGGTTTTTCTCCAGAAATTAGAACCAGAAACAACGACGGAGAAATAATAAAGTTTAAATATTTACAATATTCTGAATTTTATTTCGCAAGACTACCCAAAGATACAGATTCTGAGCCGATCCACGATATGATGATGATTCCTTTACCGGAATTACGTCTATCAGACCATCGATGAAATAAACCAATCAATCAAACATAGAGAATTACACTAAACCAGAGAACTCACTTCTGAAATACAAAAATATATGAAAGCTCCTAGAGAAAATAGAAAGAGAAATTACCTCGCCACCGCCAGAAGAGCTTTCTTCTTCTTCCTCAGTACCTCGCGTACGAACTTAGGTTTTCTGTAGTTGGAATTTAGGTTTTTTTGTAGTGGAATTTAGGTTTTCTGTAGATGGGCTAGGGCCGTGGCATGCAAGCATCTCCAAATTCGACCAATTTTCATTTTAATTAAACCATCCTTCTTTCCCCACAAAATATTGACCAGTTTGTTTTTTAGTACTCGGGGTAAAATAAAATATGAACAGTACAGAGTAACATGACCATTAGACAGATATTTTAACTAATTATATTATTAAATTAAATAATTAATTTTACTAGTGACAAGTTTTGTCACAACTACTGCATTAATTTATCATATCTCTAGATATTATTAACTAGCATCACTCCCGTGCGTTGCACGGGTCATACTTGTATTACTAAATTAAGATCAATTTTTAAGGATATAATTTATTATCTAATACTCCCTCCGTCTCTGAAACATCTTATCCTTTCATTTTTTCTTTGTCCCACAAACTTCTTCCTTTTTCTATTAAAAAACTACTTTTACTCCTTACTTTTTTCATACCTACCTATCACATCATACCTTTTTACTAATAATTTATCTATCACATTTATTTTTATCAATCACATCAAGAGTATTTTTGGAAAGTCAATACCAAAATATCCCTCCCTTAATTTTCCAAAAAGTCAATAAGGAAACTTCTTTCGAGATGGATGGAGTACAATATAAAGATTTTATTATTTTAAGGTACAAAAATTAATTGTTTTACAAATAACAAAAGACTTCTTTATAAACTACATTATTTGTATAATTTTTATATATCAAACTTTTACAACATTTATTTATTTAAAGACTTCTTCATGATTTTCTACTCTGAAAGCATGAACCTTATTTAAGAACTCAAGAGAGTGTAAGTCATTCAAAAAATTTGAAAGAGGCTAATTACGAAAAAGTGATTGAGAGCGACTGAATTTAAAGTGTGAAAAAATTAAAGTATTTTTCTATTTCCATGCATCTAATTTTTTTCGGGTAAGTTATTAATTAGTAGTTGATTGTTCAACACATAAAGGTATATATTATTGAATACGTTTTCATGTATTAAAGGCACACCTCTTAAAACGATGTCTCCATAAAACGCATGGGCATGGATCTCTAAATGGAAACATTATTAAATTGAAAGCATATTTGGTTAGAATTATTACACGATAATAATAACTAAGTACGATAATATTATTACACGGTATATTATTATTATTATTCTTTCACGACAATAAATTAATAATGATTAAATACATTAATATTATCGCACGGTATATTAGTATTATTATTGTTTCTACACGGTAATACATGATTTATTCTTGCTACAAAGTAATTTATGAAATAATTATTATTTACATATTCAACACTTAACATATGTACCACCATTTCTATGTATTACTTTGACCTTTTTTTTATATTTAATTTCTTTTATTATTTTTTATTTTGATTTTTTAATTGTGCCTTTCTTGAATGCATAAACTTATATATTTAAATTTCTTAAAAAAATTCTTCATAAAATATTTGGCACCGAATCTCTAAATGGAAACATAATTAAATTGAAAGCTTATTTTCTTAACATAATCACACCGTAATAAATTAATAATGATTAAATATGGTAATATTAAGTTTGGCCATGTTCTCTAAATGGAAACATTTTTAAATTGAAAGCTTCTTAGATTAGAATTATTAGACGATAATAATGACTAAGTACGGTAATTTTATTACACAGTATATTATTATCATTCTTCTTACATGGTAATAAATTATTAATGATTAAATATGGCAATATTATTACACNTAAATGGAAACATAATTAAATTGAAAGCTTATTTTCTTAACATAATCACACCGTAATAAATTAATAATGATTAAATATGGTAATATTAAGTTTGGCCATGTTCTCTAAATGGAAACATTTTTAAATTGAAAGCTTCTTAGATTAGAATTATTAGACGATAATAATGACTAAGTACGGTAATTTTATTACACAGTATATTATTATCATTCTTCTTACATGGTAATAAATTATTAATGATTAAATATGGCAATATTATTACACGATATATTAAAATGGTCTGTTTCTTAATTGAAATGGTTTGTAAGGAAACAAATGGTTTGTATGATTAAAATGGTTTGTATGATTAAAATGGTTTGTTTCTAAATTGGAAAAGGAAACAAATGGTTTGTATGATTAAAATGGTCTGCTTCTTAATTGAAAATTATATAAATTACGAAACTGTAAATTTAATGCATTGATTAAAAAATTTACACCTTAACGTGATTATTACCTTTTATGGACAAATATTATTTTTTAGTTGAATGGTAATCATTTTTTTTATTATATCAATTCCAATTTTATAAAAAAGTTTGGTATTAGAAAAGAAGTTTATATAAATAATATTTTTTATATTTTGTTTCCTTTTTAGAAATATATTAGGCATGCAAATTTTTTTTTAATTTATCATTCTAAATAAGAATAGAGTAATTAAGTAATTATGCATGCAAAATTATTCTAAAAAGGAAACAACGTAGATCTTGTTTGCGAAATTAGTCCCTTCCTTTTTTATCAGAATTAAGTAATTATGCATGCGAAATTTCCTTTAATTTTTCATTCTAAATAGGTAATATTACACAACCAATCATAGCCGTTGATCTTGTTTGTTCTTTGATATCGACGGTGCAGGAGATGAGTGCATTGGGCGGGAAAATAATTCCCTTACTTTTAAGAATAGAGTAATAGAGTGAGAGTGATATTAACGTGTAAATATACCGTATTCAATTTTAAAAAAGATAAGTCTTCTGTTTATTTCCTTTTCAACAAACAGTAATATTTTTGACGGTTCTATCAACTTAAAATAAAATTCCTTTATGAAATACACACATTTCTGTGTAAACAAATAAAGTCTAATTTTTTTCATGTCTTAAACACAAAATGAATCACAGATAATAAAATTTAAACCGCATTTTATTAATTACCGCCACGATAAAAAAAAGTTACGTGTTCAAAGAAAAGATCTATTTTGGAATGGACCTTTTCGTTAAATATATTAATAACCTTCAAAATTATAAAGTTCATTTCCTTGTTTAAAATAATTAAAACCGTATCATTGAGGAATTTGAGGTAATCAATGCTTTACTTTTATAAAACCCTATTATTAATAGCAACGCATTAAATTACATACGTGTTTTGTTGCGTATTTTCCTTTAATAGAATGTAATAAAATGGTATCGTTATACCGTGCATCATAATCGTAGATTAAATCATGTAGATTAAAATCGACGGTCTAGAAACGTAGTGCTTTGGGAGGGAAAAGCAAGGGGGCAAAATTCCCCTGCTTTTAAGAATAGAGTGATGTGAAAGAATTGGTTGACTAAATTACTACCTCCGTGTATTAGTCCAATTTGACTTTTTTGAGTCAAACTGGACAAACTTTGAAGTACGAACAACAATGATTTTTTATCAAAAATTAAATTTTTCTTACATATTTATTTGGGTGATCATTTAATTAAGTAATTTTTCAACAATTTAACTTTTCCAACATCTTCTAACTCTTTTCAGTTTTATCTAACTTCTTTTAGTTTTTTCCAACTCGTTCTAATTTCTTACAATATCCAGTTCTAGAATTTCAACCCAAAAAACATCGTCCTAATCAATACGGAAGAAAAATAATTCGGATAATTATTGTGGGGTAAATCATATCTTCTCCCTAATCTTAATTAATGTGAAGAAGAAAAACAATAGTATGCGAATCATATGATAGGCAAACCATGTTTTTTTATTTGAATTAATGTTAATCATATTTAGACAAATATTTTAGCAATATATCATTCTTTAAATAAATAATCTATATCAAAAATGAATAAGGATACTCCGTATTACTCTGTACTTGAAAATGTCAGTACTTAGTTAAAAGTAAATTTGCACTGAATAGAACTAAAACATAAGTCAGTTCCCAATGTCAAATTTAAACTTTTTTATTCTCTAAATAGGACTTAATAATGACTAGTAACACTACAAAAAAACGCGGGATTGGCACGGCTTTTGGCACGGATCACAGTTTTAGTTTCTCGTGGCTATCCTATTAGGCACGGATTTTGGCACGGATACGAAAGGCTGCCAATTTCGAAACTCCAAACTGTTTGGCACGGAAATCACGCCCGTGCCAACGATAGAGACGACATCGCTTGTAACAAATTCGTTCCAAAGTAACGGTTGCAAGAATAACGTTAAAGATATTAGGCACGGATCTGCCTGTGGGAATCGCCCCGTTCGTATTTAGGCACGACTAAACCACGGATTTTTTTGTCCCGAATATCATTTATAAAATATTGTAATAGGCACGGTACGTGTCCGTGCCAAAAAAGCCACGTAGATATCCGTGCCTTTATTTTGGAACTTTTCAAAATATTCAAAGAATTTCAAAATTTTCAAATACGCGGGGAATTATATTTCGAAATTCAATTTTTTAGTCACGGCCATATCCGTGCCTTTATTTTGGAAATTTTCAAAATATTCAAAAATATTCAAAATTTTCAAATACGCGGGAATTAAATTTCGAAATTCAAATATTTTGTCACTGGCATATCCGTGCCTTGGATTTCAAAAAAAATAAAAAAATTTAATTTTGTCACGGATTTATCCGTGCCTTAGTTTTTAAAAAAATAAAAAAACAAAATCGAAAATAAAAAAAATAATTCATAACACACCATAATTCAAATACGTAATAAATCACTCGCAGTAAATGCCAACGCAAGTCGTCTTCAGTAACAAAGTACATATTTTTACATTTCCCATAAGGACATCAAATTTTCTCTCTATCAAGAAATTCAGTTTGGGCACTTGAAAATGTAATAAATTCTTCTACACCATCAAGATATTCATGTGTCAAACCGCGTTTAATCAAAGCATTTTTGTTGTACATCCAACTTCTAAATGATATAGACATAGTACCTGAATTACAAGTGCTAGAAAAATTAGAATTTTTAAAAAATAAATCACACAAGAATAATTTTA